TTATTTAATGCTTGACAATTTTATTTCTATGACTAAACCATTCAATAAGGATTTATAAAATACAAACCTTATTAAACCTTATTATACTTATCCACTAATACTTTAGGCAGACTTTTGCATCATTTTATTATAAAATTTGTGCACACTTCTTTCAAAAAAGTATCTTATTGTCTTAAAGGAAGCACTGTTTTCTTTCTTTCTTCTGCTGCTGCTTTTTTTTCCTCCTGACTGAATCCAGAATCAAAAAGTCTGTATGGTGCAACGAATAAAATTGCTTCTCCGTCTGTCAACTTTCCATCATACATATCCAGTATTCAGTGGTAATCAGCTTTTACAGTAACGTCCTTGACTGTCACAATTGCTTTACCTGGACAGAATACAGTTCAAAAAAAGTAAGTGTAATTTAACTGGATTTGACATTAGACTTTTTTTTTTTTAAGCAAGAGGCAGGAAAAGAGAAAGCGTGTGATTCTCTCTGCCAGTTTATTCTTCTGATGCCCACAGCAGCAGCCAGGGCTGGGCTATGCCAAGCAGCCAGGACCCAGAAATTCCTTCCCGGTCTGCCGCATGGGTGCCAGGGGTCCCAAGCACTTGGGCCAACACCTGCTGCCTCCCAGGGTGCACATTAGCAGGAAGCCAGATTCAGGAGCCAGAGCCAGCTGTCAACCCAGACCCTGTGCTGTGGGACCTGGGCGTTGGAATCTTCCTTGCTAGGTCACACTCCCAGCCTGACCCTAGAATGTAGGTTGCCATTCTTTTGAGTGTTGTGTTATCAGAACCTGAGGCTCCCCAAATTAAAACAAAAAATGTCTCCATCTTCTAGTTTGCTCTTGCTAGTGAGGAAAGGTGTTGGTTCTCCACTCAGGAAACAGGCCCACTTCTAGGACCCTTCTGCTTGCCTCACCCTCTTGCTAACAGGTGGTGGGAACCCTGATGCTGAGTGATTACACACCAGCATGTCACCCCTTCTTAAATGTCACGAGATCTGCTGAGAGATGCTTTCCTAGGGGAACTTAAACTATTTCCATTTCACAGCCAGGAAATAAGAAAAAAAAAAAAAAGAGTAATTTGATCTTGTAGGTTCAAGACTTAGGAAACAAGACTGGAGTGATGATGATAAGTTAGATTAAAAAAAAAAAGGATCAGAAATGTCTCCTGTTACACAGTGTGACAATTTCTGTTGTAGCTTTTTGTTTTGAATACTTTCAGATCCTAGGAAGTTGCAAAGGTCTGATGGGCTGGGGTAAGATGTCAGGACACTCACATCCCACGTTGGAGCGCCGGTTCCAGTCGTGGCCGCCCATTTCTGACTCACCCAACGTGCAGTAGGTGAGGGCTCAAATACGTGAGTCCCTGCCACCCGTGAAGGAGACCTGGGTTTAGTTTTTGGATTCCTGTCTCTTTCTGGCTGAGCCCCAGCCACTGTGGGCATTTAGGGAGTGAAACATCAGATGGAAAAGCCCTGTGTGTCTGTCTGTATCTTTTCTCTGTGTCTCCACCTCTCAAACAAGTATAGGGGAAAAAAATTCTCTTAACGATCTCCATTTTTGCCACTTGGGGCAAGTCTCATCAACGAGTCTCCATGGTGTGCTTATGTGACGTGGGCGTTTTCCACACTTAGAGATGAGTTTGTCAGGTTAAAACCGGGAGCCAGGAATTCTCCCAGGCTTCGCAGAAGGGTGACAGGGGCCCAAGTATTTTGACCAGCTTCAGTTGCTCTCTGAGGTTTTAGCAGGGAGCTGGATTAGAAGCAGATCTTTAAATCAGTGTTCCCATGTGGGATGCTGGTATTCCAAGGGGTGGCGTAACCTGCTAGGACCATTTGTCGGAATAACTGTTCTATTCTGTTGGCATGTATTTGCAAATTGGGAGAACTTGATGGGCTCTCCTCGTCATCTGTCTGGGTTTTTTGTTCATGTACCCTGACAGGTGTACCTGACCTGCCTGCAAGTACTGCCCCATCACAGGGCAGAAGTCTTACAGTCCCTGTGTGTGAGTGCAACCCCATTCTGTTAAGCACGCGTGGTTCTTTTCTCACAACCCTTCAGCTATTCGAACTTTTGCCTTTCCGTGTGTTAACATCTTCTTGTCCATATCAATAAAAAAATTTTTGATGGCTTTTGTAGAAGTCACAGGAAACCTATGCATCAGTTAGGTGAGAATTGTTTGGGTGATATGCTGTGTTGAGTTATTGTGTTCACAGCCTCTGAGTGCCTCACTTTTCCTTATCAGGGGTGGGGCTGGATTACACCTGGCTGTGTTAGCTAGTTACAGCTGGGAGTTAATATTCAGTGAATCTGTATAGCAGGTTGTTTTTTTTTTTTTTAATTCATTTATTTTCATTGGAAAGACAGGTTGACAGAGAGAAGGAGAGACAGAGAGAAAGATCTTCTGTCTGCTGGTTCATTACCCAGATGGCTGCAGCAGCCAGAACTGAGCCAAACTGAAGCCAGAGCCAGGAGTTTCTTCCGTGTCTACCATGCATTTGTGTCTTCCCAAGGCTTTGGGTCATCTTCTGTTGCTTTCCCAGGACACAAACTAGTGCCTGTATAGATTAGCTGCACTTGGAGGTGGCTAAGCTACCACACTACCCAGCAGGCTGATTTTTTAAGTCAGTGATTTTTGTCTGGCCCACGAATAATGCTATTAATATCCAGATGACCCTTGGCAGAGAAAAGGTTCCCCAATTTCTTCTTTAGTTTTTTTTTTTTTTTTTTTGCAAGATTTATTGTTTTCATTGGAAAGGCAGACTTACAGAGAGAAATTTTTCATCCACTGCTTCACTCACTAACTGTCCACCATGACTGGAGCTGATCTAATTTGAGGCCAGGAACCAGGATCTCTCCCTCAGGGTGCAGAATCCCAAAGACCAGGGATGTCTTCCACTGTCTTTCTAGTCCATAAGCAGAGAGCTGGATCACAAGTGGAGCAGCTGGGACATGAACCAGTACACGTGTGGGATGCTAGCACTTGTAGGAGAGGATTAGTCTATTGAGCCACTGTGCTAGCCCCATATCTTTGATTATTTTTTAAAATTTCCTTGTTTTTAAGTGTCTATTCATTGAAATAAAAACTCTTCTGTTCACTAGTTTATTCCCCAAATACAACAGCTAAAGGTGAGTCATGTGGTGACAGGGACCCAAGCACTGGGGCTATCACCTGCTTGCTCCAGGTGTGTGCAGTAGCAGGAAGCTGGATCGGAAGTGGGACTGCAGCTGAACCCAGGCTTTCTGATATGGTGACATGGCATACTCACAGTGCCATGTCCAATCTCTGAGCTCTCTCAGCAGCATTACCCAGGGCTCAGCATGCTAGTCCTGTTGGTATTTTGTTAGATTTACAGCTGTGTGTTTTTATAAGTATGGATAAGCCATTTCCACATCTCTGTATTCTACGGTTCATGATCCTAATGACATTGTGTGTGGAAGTTGAGCATCCGCATGTTCACTTCCAGCAGATAGAACGCATGACAGCTGTTTGCCCATTGATCTAGCATCCTATAAGCTTCCTGAATTTCATTTTTTATTCTTACATTTTATCACTTTTCTTGGGATGTTTTGCTGAGAACATACATAAGATGTTTACTTCTTTCTCCCCACCCTGCATGTGGTTTGTCTTCTTCCTCATGCTCCTGGCATCGTCTGGAAGTCCCCGCCCTAGGACATATGGTGGTGGAGCACAGTTCTTCATCCTCTCTTCGTCTCTGAGTTGTGTTGGAAGCTGTGGGTTTTCCATAGTTGCTCTTAGTGGACCCTGAGAAGCTCCACTCCGTTCCTAGTTTTCTGAGAGGTTTAGTCACAATGGATGTTGAACTGTGAGATGCTTTTTCTGCCCCAGTTGTTAAAATTGTGTGACCTGTCTTATTTGACCTGTAATAGGGTAGATTGTAGTGATCGATTTGTGCATTTTGAGCCTGACTCAAACTCACTCAGTCAATGCCATTCGGACACAATGTGTAATTCCTTGTATATGTGACTACGTTCTGTTCTCTGCCTGGTTAGTTCAGGAGCTTGGCCTCCATATTTATAAGGAATAGTGGCCCACAGTCCTCTCCTCTTTCTTCTGTTCAGTGTTTGTCTGATTTGGGTATTGTTTCTGGATGCTTCTGCATATGCATTAATGTGCCAAACCAAATTTGCTAGCAGAAGTTGACTTCAAATATTTAAAAAAAAAAAGTTTGCAATGAGGAACTGGACTCAGCAGCCTAACACTACTTTACGTAAACAGCTGAATTGCATGTCAGCAAATATTCGGGAGAGTATATCATGGAACTCTTGTCCTCAGAACCCATCAGAGTCATCTGTGGGATTATTTTTGATAACTGAGATTGGCTTGAGGCATAAAATTATCAATATATTACAAGTTGAAAATGATTTTTGTCCCGGACAGTTTCATAAAATCACCAGTGAAAGTGGTCAGTTATGGTCTGTTCCTTGATTTAAATGCCAACTGATCTTATTTTAGAATCTGACCAGCTGCAGGCCTTCCTATGCCACATCTCAGGGATTCCCAGCTTTGAATGTGTCACATAAAGTTAACACCACTGTCCCCAAAGCGTGATCTGTCATTGAGGAGTTGTGTGGATTTCTGTGGAGCCTGTGCAGGGTAGAAAATGCTTATGAGTACTTAACACAAGCGAGTGAGATGCCTCCTGCCTGCATATACGCACATACAGAAAATAGCACGCGTCTGGGTAACTTTAAAACTTCCTGGGTGATCCCTAAGTGAATGGTAGAAGCTGTCTCTTCCCGGCGAAGGTGGGGGACTGACACTGAACCCCAAGGTGTAAGTGCTGGCTATGTCTGTGGACATGGATGCATGCCTCGGAAGTGGTTTCTCGGCGTGCCACTTGCGATGCGAGGCACGAAGGCCTCGCCACGTCCACGTTGGCGCTGATCCTCCAGGGGCCCCTCCGCGTCATAATGTCCGTGACTGTTTCTAGATGTGGTTCTCCGAGAAGGAGGAGCTCCTCTTGTTTCAGCTCTGTTCTAACTTTACAGGATCCAAGCCAAAACCCGAGAATTTAGGGAGCGACAGGCTCGGGAGCGCGACTATGCTGAGATCCAAGACTTTCACCGGACGTTTGGCTGTGGTGACGAGGCGATGTACGGGGGACTTTGTCCGTACGAGGGCCCCCTGGCCCTCACCGCCAGGCCCCAAAGCCCGAGAGAAGGACACCTCATGGACGCTCTGTATGCCCAAGTGAAGAAACCGCGGAACCCCAAGCCTTCACCTGTGGACAGGTAGGCTCCAGGGCACCAGTCCCGGCATTATGCCCGGGTCCACTCGGTAGAGGGTTTGACAAGGGAGTGGATTGTGCATCTACTCGGCGCTCTGAACAGCCTTTTGTGAAGCCCATTGATTGCTTCTAAACACCTCAAGTTTCCGCCAGTCAGCACCTGTTGGGAGGAGCAGCAGTTTCCATCGCCTTTCTCAAATTCCCTGCCCTTAAGTGGTCGTAGGGCTGAGAAGCCACCTGTATCTCAGAGCTCAAGTACAATGCAAACTTGAAAAGATGGCCCGTCTTGCATGAGCGAAGCTGCCTTTCGCAGCCAGGAGAAGGGTCTAGGCGTGTAAGTAGGCCAGGGGATGGCATGAGTTAGAATTGGGAAGGGCCAGCAGCATATTCATGGCATTGTGTGACTGTCATGTGAGTGAGGCATATGGAGTTTCCTTCCTTCCAAGTACTTCTGACAGCCACAGAGCACAGGTCTGAGTTGTGGATTTTGGTGAAAAATCATACAGATGCGCTCTGTTGGCTGCATTTTAACGACTGTCTATTGCTTGGAATTTTAATCGATCAATCTGTGGCTGTAAGCTCATTAGCGACTCTGTTGCTGTTATGTGTTTATATCAAATGGCCATCTATGTTTTTCCCACGCTAACTGCTGCACTTGCAGACAAATCTTTATATCTACAGTTTATAAAGAAAGATAGTTCTCATTCACTGTTATGTCCGGCGTGTGCCTTGTGGTACTGTTGGTGATCCAAATGTTCATCCTGCCACATGCCTTCACATTCTCCGGTAACTTTCCTCTCCCCTTGAGGTGGGCTTTGAATGTTAGAAGCGACAGGTTTCCTGAATATCCAAGCTTGTCAGGCTTCATAAAGCATGGAGAGGCCGGCCCTCTCCCAGCACGTTGATGTCTGGGTGGGGGATGCTGGCTGGGGGAGGGCCACTCTCATGCCTTCCACATGCCCTGAGCTAATGGCTGGTCCTGGAACTGCACAGGAAAAAGCAGCACTAGGTCAGAGCCGTGCGTGCCGACACCCGGGGCTGTGCTAGACCGGAGCTATGCATACCAACACTCGAGGTTGCAATTCCTCCTCTCGGGCTCCTTTCGAATGGAGCCTTCCCCATGAGGCAGGGAGCCCTCAGCCAGCCCAGGAGTGTGTGGAGAATGAGCTGCCAGGGCAAAGCTGCAGTCGAGTGACTGTTGTATGGTTTCTCCGTTGCTTGCGTTGTTGGCTTGGCTGTAGTGACAGAGTAATATGGGTTAGCACAGGAGGCTTGTGGTTGAGGTAAACCCATTTGGTGCGATTCCCTAGCAGGTTCCCACGCTTATTAGTCTGCAGCTGTGTCAGGGTTCAGGGGATGAAGTTGTTATCCATGGCCGAGACATTTCCTTTAAAGACTGCCGTTGCCGTCTGCTGTGCTGCGAGAGCTGCATGCTGGTGGTCTCGTGGTGCAGGTGCAGCTCTACGAGAGGGATACCAGAAATTTAAGTGGTGCCAGTCAGTGTCTCCTGGAAGAACTGAAAAATAAATCTGATACGTTACTGATCATTCCTTAAAGCACTCCTGCTCACCTTCAGCACCGTCAGTATCTAATGCAGGAATCCAGAAATGGGGACTGGCATGGCATAGCCGATAGAGCACCACATGTGGCACTGGCATCCCGTATGGTTTGAGTCCTGATCGTTCCACTTCTGATCCAGCTCCCCCTGCTAATGCACCCAAGAAAGCAGCAGCAGATGGGTGAAGTGCTTGAGCCCCTGCACCCACACAGGAGATCGGAGTGGATTCTAGGCTGCATTGCAGCCATTTGGGGAATGAACCAGCAACAGGAAGATCTCCCTTTCTTTCTGTCTCTCCCCCTCTCTCTGTTTAACCTTTCATTTCAAGAAAAAAAAGTGGGGGGGGGGGGAGCGGTATAGCACAGTAACCTAGTGGCTAAAGCCCTTGCCTTGCACATGTCAGGATCCCATATGGGCACTGGTTCATGTCTCGGTGGCCCTGCTTCCTTTCCAGCTCCCTGCTTCTGGCCCGGGAAAGCAGTTGAGGGCCGCCCCAAAGCCTTGGGACCCTGCACCCATGTGGGAGACCCAAAAGAAGCTCCAGGCCCCTGGCTTTGGATGGGCTGAGCTCCAGCCATTGAGGCCTCTTGGGGAGTGAATCAATGGATGGAAGATCTTTATCTCTCTCTCCTTTTCTCTGTAAGTCTGAGTCTCCAATAAAAATAAATAAATCTTTTAAAAAATGGAGAAGAAGGAATAGTGCTGTTCCTGTTGCAGTCATTCACAACACTCAGAAGTCCCACCAGATGAGAGAAGGGGCTGCGCCGCTCCTGACATCCTGAAATGACTAGTTTAAATCCTAGAATCTTAAACCTGTGGAAATCTCACTGGAGGATTCCGCCAGGTGCCCTAGGGGCTGACCTGCTTGGGATACCTCTACTGTGGGCTTTGAGATCCCTGCCTGCATCCGCTCTCTGCCCCATGCTAACGCCAGACCAACAGTCAGTTCCCTAACCGTGTTCCCCAAATCACCTGCTCAGCAGACCCCTCCAAGGAAACTTCCGTTCCAGGACTAGCCACAGTGGGCAGTAAATAACTCAGAATCTTGTCCCCAGAATCCAGATACAGCACAGCTTTGGGCATTTCTCCCAGAAAAGTTTGTTGCAATGTAAGGTGTCTAAGATAATTTCAACTCAAGCTAGACAGTTGATTACTATTTGAGGAAAAAAGGCATGGAGATTTCTGTTTCTTGTAAAGGTTAGCTTCTGCAGGCACGCAGTACTCTGCAAAAGCCATGTTTGATGTGACTGAGCAGTCGTTGATCATGATACCTGTAGGAGATTCTACACCTGCTGGTACTTGATGGTGATCTTGGTCTGGCAATAAAGACATCACCATCTTGGTCTTTTCTTTCGGGGAAGTCTTAGCGAAGTGAGGAGTAGGCTTTCATGGTGTAGAGAGTGCTCTGTGGAGGAGAGAGTCTCTTGAAATGGCGATATTGAATTAAATTGTTTTGATTATAATGTTACTTAAGTATGTATAAAAATGAAATAGAACCAAGCTCCTTCTGCTTGGAACCATTATACCACCATAAAAACCAAACATCTTCACAAATTAAATGCAAACAGAATGGCAAGACCATTACATCCCAATGAGCAGAGTTAATTTAATGTGGCCAGTGAGGGTTTTTTTTTTTTCCCTCACTCTAAATGCTTGCACAAATCATGACTGTCTTGCGTTTGGGCGCCTGCCCTGCGGATCCTAGCTGACTCGGTGACACAGTCCCAGTGCTCTGCCCTGTCCAGCAAGCTGTGGCCTGTGTGTCACAGAGACTCCCAGTTTTCTACCTGCTGTCCAGCTTGCTTCTCTGAGAGGGCTTCCAGAGTTTTCTTGGACAATGGAGTTGGAAGACAAGCTTTGGTGCAGGTGAGGGGCCTTTCCAGAAGCTTATGGAAATATGGTTCATGAAGAAATGACAACTGAGTGTTAAAATTCTTATGCACCAAAACTTACCTTTTAAAGAATGCTTACTGACGGAAGGGACAGAAGCAGGCATTGGCCGAGATCTCCTGTTCTCTGGTTGACCACAAGGCCCTGGGCAACACGCCGGGAGCTAGGGACTCCATCACTGTCCCACGTGGGTGACAGTGGGTGCACAAGCATGTCTGCATTTGTGGAGATGAACCTGTGGATTCTATGGGTAGTGTTTTGTTTCTTCAATCGTTTCTCGCCTCCCCATCCCCACACATCCCAGTATAGATTCCGTGCAAATCAGGACTCGCTGAATTCAGCTGGAGGGCTCCCATGTCACTTCCACATGCAGACACCAGGCTTGAAAATGATGCTGGCTGCATACCCTCAGTGTTTGAGAGCAAGGACCAAAGCTCTAAGAATGGGGTCACTCCACCTAAGTCATCCGTCCTTGGACATCCTGTTGTCAGCTCGTGGACCTCCCTGAAGCACTCCTGTTCTTTTTGTAAGAATGTTGTCTCACCTGTGCTATGCTGCCAGTGTACCACGAATGGGGAAACTTGAACTTCTCAAAACTTTGTCTAAATCGTTGACATTCTGTTTGTGTCCAGTAAACTGCTGGTGGAGCAGGCCAGCAGGAGTCCTGATCATAATAGCCGTCGCCAGCTTGGCTCCAGAACAGCAGGGCATCATGAGTGAGTGTGCATCATGCTTAAACAGGATGCCAGTGTTGCAGGAGGGGGCCTAACCTGCTCGCACCGTGACCCTCCCCCCCACCCCAGGAAGTTTCTTTCCACACGAGTTACATGGTGCAACTCAGAAAGCTTTTTGCATTCTCACACAGGATTGATAAAATCCTGGTCAATAACGCCTTTTTATCGACTGGAGGAACACCATGCAATTTGTGCTTCTGTTTCCAGCCGTCAGAATCTGCAGTTAGAAACCTCCAAAGAGAGCCAGCTCTGGTGGACATTGGCTGACTGTCACCATGCAGTCATTTGCCACCGCGAGTGCATTGTCCTCAAATATAATTGAAATAAAATAGGAACTGTGCTGCCATAAATCTAAATAGCAAGAAAATAGCAGGCTAGCCTCCCCCAGCTTGCTGAGGACACCTTAATGGGATCATAAATACCGTAATCATACGCTTTTTGCATGCATTTTACCACTAAAGAGAAAATGCCAGTTTTAAAAGAAAAGACCTTTGTGAACTATTTTCCCCCTCCCGCTATTCCAACCGGAATCCAGTGGCATGGAAAGTCGGTCTCATTCATGCAGAACAATAGGATTTTTCTTGCACCCAGGCCGTGGTGACCTTTCAGAAACACCGGCTCAGGTGACAAAGCTATGTTTGCCATTCCAGGAATCAAGCCCCAGCTTCCTTCTGTCTTACTCGCAGCTGTCTGGCGAGTAACTCTCGGTCATGGCGAGGCAGCCTCGCAGCCTGGCAGCACGTGCCCTGGCTGGGGAAAGAGCCGTGTCCAGCTGCCATCCTTCACTGCCCTTCTGCCTGGCACCTCTTTGTCTGCCACCCT